CAAGGCCTGCCAATTACTGCATTAGGTTTGATGGAGGTTTCAGTTCCCTATCAGCATCAAACAAAGCTCACTATGCACAGAGCGCTGGGTACAGATAGCATGCAGCATGGAGGAGTTCAGTATAAACAAGCAACAGAAGAGTATTTTTCACAAAAACTCAGTATCAAAGCTGTATGGGCAACACAAAGCCTTGGGCACATTTCACAAGGGTGGCCACTCCAACAATTTTAAGATCATTTTAAATCAAGTGGGTGAATGGCCTTTTTTTTGTCACATTTCTTTAAGAATAATATATTTGGAGTGACATGCTAGCAAATGAGGGAGCTAAAGGCAGATAGAGTCTTTTTGTCCACTATTTTGCTGTCGGCTTTCTCAGCCCCTCTTCCTCCCCAGAAAGCAGACTGGTGGGGAAGAGACTGACCGCTATTGCCAAAGATATGGATTTATCACTCTCAGGGGGCATGGCAATTAGGGCAGGGACCAAATGAAACTGGGCCCAGGCTGGATGTGGCCCGTCCCTGCTTTAACGGACCACATTAGGCCGTGTTTCAAAACCCGGGAGTCATTATATGTAAAGGACTACTACGCCTCTTTTTTCCCCTTCCATCATCGCTACAACAATACTGCTCATCCACTGGACTCTTTGAGTCCCACATTTATAGTAGTGTACATGCAGAATACTTTAAAAAGCCAAGCTGTCCATAAGAATGCCCACAGATGCTTCATGCTGTGGCTAGTTTTTTTGTTTTTGCTTTTTTCCCAGGCTGCTCATGCACGGACGACGTCACCACAAACATAACACATTACACACACTGGTGGGTGTCCAAATGTGGTGAATATTAACATACAACAATGATAATGCCAAATAAATTCTCTAACTATCTGAAGACTGAGTAACCAACAGCAAAAGCAGGCAATCACCCAAATGCAATCTGTCAATGCTTGGTGGTTTACATTCAAAGAGTTGAGAAATATATCTGTTTTCAGAGATTTAAAAATCTAATTTGGAATAGTCAGCCTTCACATATGACTACAGAGCTAGCGACCACTAAGTCTATTGACAAATCTATTAGGGCAGGATAGAGGGCAGAACTGGTCCATCCATAGCAATCTAGTTTCAGTGCATACCTTCTTTTATTTTCCTTTATGTAATTCCACAGAAATAGACACATATATTTAAAAAATCCAGAAGGATATTTTCATGCAATGATGGTATAACATCTACTACTGAATTTAACAGAAAATTATTTTGTGACCAGATATCATAACTGGAAATTAAAAGAGCTAGGTAAAGCAAACATACATACATACATACATATTGTAAAATAAGGTAAAATGTGAAAATAGGACATTATTTGATCAAATATTATCCTCTATGTTTCCTTTGCCAAAGTCAAGGGCTAAATATACAGCCATTCACATACACATATAGCAGTTTGTAAAGTTTTGAAAGTCCTTTTCTGGCCTTCAAGAGTGACATCACTGAATGCAAGCTATTAGAAACAAAGATAAAAATGGGCAGATGAGCACAAAAATACAGCTACCGCAGAACAGATGCCATCCCATGATAAGATCAACATAGAGAGAAATCATGCTTTCACTGTGTCATTTAACCTCACATGAATGTGCAACTTATAAGGGAGAAGCAAAGCAAGCTTTGCCAATCAACCTATCACTTCCAACATACGATGCCCCATGAGAGCAGCCATTTTAGAAGCAGTCATATAGTTTCCCTGCATCAGCAGCAATGTAAACACTCTGCCGAGAGTCAATGCGGTGTACCGGTTAAGACAGGGACTCACATATAAGATGAGGTTGATATTGTGGGCTGTTTTTCTGGTGTTTTTTATGTGATGGGCATATAAGATCATTTCCAATTTTTGCTTTTCTATTTTCAGTTATATGCCAGTATATATAGGTATCTGCCAGATGGAAGCGTCAAGATCCTCATGAAGTCACGTTACTGAATTCTAGCTAATAGCCATGTCACCTCTTCAATTTGGAGGCTGATAGAGGCCCGCGTAAGAGTTGGCTAGCAGTAGGTTGGGGAGGACGGCTGGCACCAGCTCCACAGCTGAGTGTTGGGGGGGGGGGTGAGAGGAAAGAAGTCTACATGAGCAGCACTGTATCTCTGCACAGACAGCCATGTGGAGAACACTCCCCTCCTCAGCCATCACGGCCAACCCAGAACAAGGAGGATGGCGTGGATGGGTCAAACTCGAGACTGGGCCTGCGGCTGCACACAAGGCTCACAACATGATGCAACACAGAACAGGCTCCTCCAGTTCCAGTACGTTTTTTAATTATTATTAATAAAAACAAGCTTGTAAATATTATGTTCTGTATTATCATTTTAAATTATTAATAAGGTCAAAAATTTTCACCTGGCATATAAGATGATCCCACAATCGTTACCTTGCTATTTCTGGTTTCAAGGGGTGTCTTACACACTAGTATACACAGTAAGCCACTTTGAGTTCTTTAAAAAAAGAAAAAAGAAAGGGCAGGATATAAATGTAATAAATAAAATAAAATAAAATAATCCCTTGATGGACTCTAGCCAACGACTTGAAAGTTCTGAAAAGACAACATAATCTTACCCTCAGAACTCAAGGCTTTCCTGCAAACAGTCATAACACTGCGGGGGGTGGAGAGAAGAACCAGCTAGACTCGATGCAGGGATTTGCTTTCTTTTATATGTGGCCAAACACCCTGAACATATTAAAAGTCAGTCCTGCAGCTTTTTATTTGCTCTCTCAAAATATTCACAGCACATGCATCCATCCCATCTGGCTCATAAGAAGCATGTGAATGAACCTGAACAGGCGGTCAGGAACTCTGCCCCTCAAAGCTCACCCACACAGCACATGGCCAGAAAGAGCATTCAGGCACATTCAACTCACATTTGCAGGGCAGGGTTCCGTTCACCTGCAGCAGCCTCTAGATTACCTAAAGGTTATTTGTGAACTGGCAAAAGACCAAAAAAAATAACTTGTCCTCAAATCAGAATTGCTTCCAACTCTGTTTCGGCCCCAAATTCTCTTTTGTAGCAACATGAGCAAGAATCACTCTGCAAGGGCACTGTGGAGATAGTACTATCAGGTAATCTGCCACTTGCTCAGGGCAAGTGGTTGCACCCACAGAGCCCTGTCTGCTGCCCTTCAAGGCTAGAGGACAGACAGATGGAAACCATTTGTACAGCTGCCACGGTACTATCTGTACTTCTTTAATCTGGGAAATGAATCAGCATGATGGGAGGTGTCTGGATCAGCCTTTTCTATCCCAGCCCATCCTATCCATCCTTCAGTGACACCACCAAATACAACCGAGTAGAGACAAAAATAAAAATGGACAGGCAAGTACAACTATGCAGCCGCTGCATAATAAACACTACTCCATGGTAAGAGCAACACTGAGAAATGCTGGATACAGCCAGTGCGATGCGGCTGTTACAGCATCCGAATGGGGACCTGGAAGATCTGACTTCTAGTTAGTTCCCACTTGGCCTTGAAGTTCACTAGGTGAGCTTGGGCCAGATATGCAGTCTAAGCTATTTCACAGGGTTGCTGTGAAGATATAATGAAACTTTGTAAGTCACCTTGGTTCCACACAAGAGGGGAAAAGGCAGGCTATAAATGCATTGCAGTGATAACAACAATAACTTTCCAGCCTTAATGACAGAAGAGAGGAAAGGAGGAGCCAGGCAGCTGCCATAGTGTTGATTCATTTCCCTGGTTCGAATGATACAGGTAGCAGCTGCACTTAATGCAGAAAAGAGGTGCCAGACATCTATCAAAAGCTAAAGCTACATTTTCCACTATCAGGGAAGTGGCAGTGCTCTGGGAACGGTGTCCTTTCCTTCTCTTACTAAGAGGAGCAGAAGAGTCCGATGGACTGTTGCATAAAATCCCCCCAACCAGAGCAATGCAGCACCATGATACAGCAAAAGTGGGGAACCTCAAGATGGGCACAGCACTGGGACCTATTTCAAGAATAGGATGTAAGAGGGCATCACAGCTTTTTAAATGCACATTTCTGGGACTCTGTGGACATACAGATGAAAGACAGCTGCTGACAGCAGACATTCCAGAGTTTCTATACTGCTACTTTATCCTTCCCTCATTAACTCCACCAGTTTCAACCACAATATTTCTTTCTACTGCCATCCCTTACCAGCTCTTTTCCTTAATGCCACAGAACTCCTTACCAAGCCCAAAGCAAAGGCATTCAGGATGAAGCATTCTGAATAATTTTTACAGAAATATTTATTTCTATGTTTGAAGTGATATTTTTGTAATCTCTTTCAAAGACAAAATACAAAGCGACAGCATAAGCATTTTTGATGAAACTGCCTTCCGCTAGGGGCCCGCAAAAGCATTTCAGTAACAAAACAGATCTATCCAATACTAAGTTGAAACTTCATCCCAATTTATCTTCAGATCTCTGACAAATTTGCTAGGTTTTATCCAGTGAGCACATACATGAAGATCCCACCAACTTTTAGAAAAATGTAGCTATCAGTTCCTGCTGTTCATTCTAAAGAGGGAAACCCCCAAATGCTTTAAAAAGTGGAGTCTGCATCTGCTTTACTCCTTCTTAAGTTCACTGGAGGAAGAGAGAAAGAGAATCCTCACACTTCATAAACCTGTCAGTTGGGGAAAAAATGCAACAAGAAGCCAAGAACAAGATGGCATTATTCGCTGCCACTCCAAGACATAATTCATAATTAATCTGATTTAAACACAAGCAACATACTCAAAGGAAAGTACTGAGGTTACATGCTGTTCTGTCCAAGGAGGCAAAGCAGATACAGATTCTCAAAGTGTGCCTAAATTTAGCCCTTTGTCTAAATAGAGTGGGCATTTGTTAAACTGTGTAACAGTACACTTTCATAGGTTTCTTCCCTTCAAGAAATTAAGCTCAGGAACCTCCACTATGTCATCAGACAACCCCTTATACACCTAAGTAAAGCAAAGGGAAAGGTCCACAAACCCACTCACCATTCTGACCATTATGAGGGTCCTTGTTTCCCTGGATGTGCTGCTGTCTCTTCCTCCTCCTCCATCCATTCCCAGATTCAGTGAGTGTTGTCCGTGCAGGCATCCTCCCTTCTCCTCCTTCCCCATTACCTCTCAACACTACCCAGTTCACATTCTGTAAACTCTCCATCAGTACTTTACATCCTCTTCCAGCTTAGCCAGACTGGAGCAAAGGGGTGCCTTACAATTATCTAGGTTGCACTTAGCAAACATGGTGCTACTGTGATTCTGGTCCTTTCTGAAAAAGTTGGTGTAGAGCAGAGTCCATTTCATTCATTATCTCATGGAGTAAAACTGATCGGAAAATAAGATGGGAAGGAAGTTGGACAGTAACCATTCTATAAACCTAGTGTCTGTGCTTCAGGAAACAACTAGATTATGTGGTACGGAGCAGCAACTGATATAAGCTCACTTACAGGGATGAGAAATGTGCGGCCCTCAGGGAATCACTAAATGTAACTCCCAGCATCTCTCACCACTGGCTACGGTTCAGAGGAGATGCTTTTCAACAACATCTGGAGAGTCACACATGCCCCAGCCCTGGCTTACCAGGTGGTCATAGGCAATCACACGCAACTGCCTTCCTTGGCTTCATCATTTAGCTAAGCTCCCACACTTGCCAAACTAGTACTTCTGACTGCAAGACAGTGCAAAACCTCATCCATACAAAGACTAAAGTGGGACATACTTTTTATTTCTCATCAGAGATCCAAGCATAAGGCATTTAAGTTACACTTAAGGGATCCAGCTAAGGCAAATTGCATGGTAAAGAGCTCCTTGAAACAGCATTACTACCCAGTAGTGTCTCTCTATATGGATCTGTTCCCAGCTGGCGAGATAAAAACAAAGGTATCTGGCAACTTCAGCAATGCTTTGTAAAGCAAGCTGACAAATGATTGCAAGGAATATTTTTAGCAATGTAAATATTATATTGTGAATGGCTAATCAGTAAAGGAACATTTGAGTGTCCTTATACCTTAGACTTATGTCAAAGCTTCTAGTTCTTTACTTCAGTAAATCAAAAGCATAAATAGATTTTTCTAGGAAATACAAAGACCCAGTGTGATATAGCAGTTCAAGTGCTGGATCAGGTGGGACTGAGGAGATCTGGATCCTTGCCTCACTTGACCATAAAGAACTGGGTGGCCCTCAGCCTAACCTACCTCACAAGATTATTAGGGGATTAAAAAAAAAGGACAAAGGGACTACATAAGCCACTTTGCGTTTCTCACAAAAGAAAAAAGGCAGGATATAAGCGCAATGTACCAATACATTTTGCTAAGAAGACACTTAGTACGCAGAAAATTAGGGAAGGATAATGAGGAACTATAAAAAGTACTGTTTCCTATTTTTCCATCTTCCTTCTCTACTAACCTTGACAACAAGAGCTAAAATAGTGAAACACCAAGCTCTTCAATCTGTCAAGCATGATATGAAATACTATCCTCATGCCACCTGCCCAATACAGTGCCTCTTTTGGAGAGGAGCAGGCCGAAAAAATCTTATTGCTGTAAAAATTCAAGATCTATTTTAAGTCTTTTAAATATTGCAAACAAAAGCAATCCTCTGCTAATACACATGCAAGAGAAAAGCATCTGACATCTGCTTTTATATTTATACACATACACATGATCTATCTCCACAATGGAAAAAATAAATGGGGACTAACATGGAAATACTGTGATTATAAGAAGAAAATAATGACTAATTCTTATTTCCTCACCTTATCTTAAGATTAAAAAAGCCACTCCACTGACCATCTTTATCTTAAGAGCTCTCCAAAGTTGCATTTTGTAACACGTGTACCTAAATAAAGTAAGATAAATTATGGCAAATACATTTGTATCTAGATTTTCAATGTCACAAGGGTCACTGCACTCAAATTCATGCTTATGCTGATTAGCCCCAGCAACCATATATCGGAGGTGTTTATACAGTAATCCATGGCTAATTTGTAAAACAGCATTACCAATCTTGAACATCTAAGGTGAAGGACAAGAAAACTCTGGATCCTCTCTTTTTACTGATATAAACAATTCTTCATTTCCCAACTTGCGCAGGCTCACCACAATTCTTTTTGATCAAAGCAAGTTCCATCAGCATCCCATCGACAATGCATCTGGCTAACAGCATCATGAAAAGAGCCACAAGGAGAAATAGAAGGCCTTCTCCGGTTTGTCCTCAGCAACTGGAATTCAGAGGTATACTGTCTATGAACAGAGGAGCATGTACTTGTCTGTCATGGCTAAGGAACAAGCATCAATGAAGCAGAAGAGTTTGAATTATTGGCTTCCCTCATTTTAGGGCAGGACAAATTGCTCAAGTTTAATTCTCCTCACATTCTCAATTTCCTTTCATTCAGTTTGTGGCTCTTTTCTGCACCAGAGTGAACTTTTTAAAAAATCCACATAAACATTTGTATGTATTTGTGCATATTTATCTAAATGTACTTTGTATGCACTCTTCTAAATATACCTTTCAATGTGGTTTTATGCCTTGCATATACAAATATATGCCTCCTTTCCTGCACACTTTTCCCTATTGTATACATTTTTCCTATTATACATATTTTTGTACTCATTTTTGATTCTGTAAACCTCATCACAAAATTCTGGGAAGGCAATTATCTCTGCATCACTGTATGCTGGATCAGGAAATGTGGATTTGGTAAGTTTTCATTAAAATGAGAACCGCAACAAATTGCTCACCCATGCCTAAATCACTTGGAACTAATTCCTTTTCTTGTCACTCTACCAGTCTAAATTGTTGTTATTATGGGCCATCAAGTCACCTCCAACTTAGGTTACCCCATGAATGAAAGCTCTCCAAAATGTCCTGCTCAGCTCTTCTAAATTCAAGGCTGTGACCTCCCTTATGGATTCAATCCATCTCATATTTGGTCTTCCTTTTCTTCTTCTGCCTTCAACGTTCCCTACCATAATTATCTTTTCCAGGGAGTCTTGCCTTCTCATGATGTGACAAGCCTAATAAGAAAGGTCTAATTTTCTCATAAACTAAATTAAGATGGTGAGCAGCTTTCCACAAAGATAATGCAAAACAGAGAAATAAAACCTGGAATACAGAATGTTTGCAAAACAAAGTTTTATATTTTGCTATATTGTAGTTCGAATCCTGACTACATAAACTGGATCACAAATAGTTCCACACAAATCAATGGGATTCAAGGTTAACCTGAGGAAAGAATGCCTCCTTCCATATAAAATGTTCCCTGGACTAGTGATGTGAAGTGGAAAATTTCCCAGTGCTTTATTATTCCCTTGAAATGTTTTGATTTTGTAAGTCTATTGGTAAAAATGGGTGTGTGCCAACTGCAACTACAGTATTAAACAAACCTGGAAGCTTCAAACTTATAATTTTTTTCATATTGTTATGTTTTCTACTCATATAAGAGGATGTATTTGTTATATGCATGCATGTATGTCCCTGAGCAAAATGGAACTATTAGAACTGCGTGGTATAGTGGTTAGAATGTTGATTGGGAAACCCAGGTTCAAGTTTCCATTTGGCCATAAGGCTCAGTGGGTGCCTTTGGGCCAATCACTGAGTCTCAGCCAAACCTACCTCACAGGGTGAAGGTGGAATGGAAAGGAGTATGACCATGTAAGCCACCGCAGACTCCCCCGCAAGAGGAAAAACGCTGGGATCACCCCTGTATCCCATGATGGCCAGCTAGATTCTCCTGGGAAGACCACATGCACAGCCTGTAGGCAAGAACCCTAAGTGTGTTGCTGCTTCCTAGAGGTCATTCCTGAGTGATAGGCCCTACAGCTAAAGTGGGAAGACAGGCACGACCATGACTAGAGATGAAATGTACTCACAACTGGTCACTTAGGCTTTGAGTGGGTCTCTAGGAGGATGCAACTTGATGTTCTGCAACAGCAGAGGGTTGGACTTGATGGCTTCAGGGCCCTTCTGACCCTACTATTCTATGATTCTAACTTCTAACAACTTTATACCACTGTCCTAACATTTGCATCATGCAGGAAAGGGACGGGAGGCGGGAACCAGGGGCTTGCAAACTACATCTAAGCAGGAAACTGCAGACTTTTCTCCTTTTAATTTCAATACAATTTGTGCCACTATAACACATTCAGTGCGGAGTTACATGATAAGGTTTGGAAACTTCAGGTGTTGCAGAATGTGGTAACAAGGCCCTTCTCCTACATATACAAGGTTACTAGAATCACAGTAGGGCAATATAATATCAAGAGGAAAATTCTCCCCTGTAAAACTGCCTGAGCTTTATATAACATCAACTTTCTGTCCTGTTAATGTGGTGCCCTCAGACAGGCAGGTATAAGAGAAAGAACCTCTTCAGTGGTGACACTGAAACACCATTCCAGTCAGGCCTCCCTTTCCATCTTTGGACATACTCTAAAAATGTTTCTGTTTCTGCAAGTTGTTAATGTTTAACTGTTTTCTGCTGTGATGTAACTATCTTGGAGAGCACTTGCTTTTGCAGCTGTCATTTTACTGTGTTGTTTTGTTCATCTTGTTTTTATTATACTGTTCTTGCACTGATTTTTGTTTCATTCTGTCTACTGCTCTGTCAGTTTATGCAGAAATAAAGGAGAACCATTGCCACAGCCTCTTTGAGGGCTTCCCACACACTTCCTATCACTTTCTGCACTTGTCCTTCAAACTGCCAATTCTGGCTCACAAAGCCCGGCTAGGGTGCTTCCCCTCCGCGCATCAGGCACCATTCCTTTTGCGGTATTTTTTCTTAAACATATGATCCATCTACCACAAAACACATGTAACTTTCAGGCAGCAACACCCAACCCGGAGTACTTCCCTCCATGTCCATAACCGTGATCTCCTGAGTCCCAGTTCAACCCTTTAACCACCACATCGTACCAGCTCTCTTCAGCTGTCATGTAATGAAAGTTAATGCCACTAACAGTCACCCCCATCTCTTCTTTCATTCATATTATGTTATTCGCAAAGTTGTGCCCAACCCATTGCGACCCCATGGACATCATTCCTCCAGGCTCTCCTATCCTCCACCATCCCCTGGAGTCCAC